GGGAGTGTGTACGTGCAGTAGGTCAAAAGGTTTGTAAGCGTGTATCATGGCAGTATCAGCAAACCATGGCTCTCGGAGCCTGGTATGCGCTGGTAGTTCCTTGACACCTGGTCCTCTGTCGGTAGATGCGCCTGCGTCCCCGCTAGGTACACGGGTGGTGGGCATGGCTGCCCAATCATCATCCTCGTCCATTTGACCCCTATTATTGATGCTGTTGGCGAAAAATCCTCGTTATTTGCTGTGTGGACCATGGGGTGTGGAGTGGAAAACCAAGGTACGGGCTCGGCCGTGCCATTCACCTATGCTCTCCCCCGCCTCCGGTCTTCTTGACCCTGCTCCGCCTTGCTGTGGAGCACACGGTGGACATCGCCGAAACCGGCGGTCGAACTCGCGTGTGTACATGCCACCTTCCTTGAGTGTACTTCGAGCTCTGCTTGAGCTTTCTTTCCCTTCCTAATCCAGAGAGTAGGTGGGCTAACTCATGAAATGTCAACTTGAAATTCTGAAATGCGTTTACGTTTCGAAAAAAAATTAATTGAGTAGGGTTGTAAAACTAGTCAGCCTGCAACATATTTCTATAATATGTTAGTTACCTCAGGACGTCGGCTTTCGAACGAACTTCCTTCCGGCTGCATACAAAAACTACACGCTGTAAAAAAAAAACGACTGCTTATGTAGCATGAAGTTTTCTCATTGATTTTCGATGCCCCTAAAAGTGCAATTATATTTCATGGAAAACATACATAAAAATATTCACTCTTTTGCTCATTCGGTGGAAAATTACGTTTTCTTCCAATTTTATACCCCAAAGGAGGGACATAAATCGAATTTTAATAAGGTTCGAATTGTGCGACTTTAAAAATCGTGAAATGGCCGTTCATACATCGTCATGTCTCTGCATTTACCAATGTGACTTGTAAAGTTAACAATATGAATCAAATCCACTGCTAAATTTTAAGAACCCTATATGGGCCTCCTTTATTACCGCAGAGAAATGTGCGGTTTTTCGTACGCGGAAAATATACGGCCTGTAGTTTCTAAACCCTAAGTGTAACGGTAGAGCGAGTTTAAAATTATTCGGGAATTGGAAAAGTTTTTAAAAACCGATTTATACCCTTCTTTCGAGTATAACATAGGAAGAAGACGTAATTTTATACCGAATGAGAGAAAGAATGAACATTTGTGACTACGTTTTCCATGAAATATAATTGGACGTTCAGGGGCACCGAAAATCAATGCGAAAAATTCCTGCTATTTAAGTAGTCGCCTTTTACAGAGTGAAGTTTTTTCATGCGGCCGGAAAGAAGTTTATTCGAAAGCCGGCATCCTGTAATAACTGAAATATCATCGAATTATGTTGCAGGCTGACTAGTTTCACAACCCTACTTAATTAATCTGCTCGAAGCGAAAACGCATTTCGGAATTACGGTTGACATTACATGAGTTAGCCCACCTACTGTATGTTATCTGATATCATTTTAGTAAGCATACCATACGGTATCAATCGAGTGGGTCTACAGAACCAAATCACGCCAAGAAAGCAAGTATAAGGATAATTGGATGCTAACCAATGAGAGACGGAATGTCGCTCGATTCTTTAATCTGAACACTTAAAAAGAAACGGTGGGACACTGATTTGCCTGGGGCAGTGTTTCGCGGTAGGATCACATTTCCAGCCCTAAAGCTTTCAAGGTAAAATTTGCTGCACCGGTCCAGCAGCTGGAGGTCACTTAGTAAGGTCGTTTGTCTTCAGAAAGTCCGCTGCCAACACCTTTCTAGCTAATCAATACGCGAGCGCTCTCGACGATTCTGATTGGTGCATACATGCTCGTGCACGCGGTTTCAGTCTTGTAGCGTAAAAGTCCAGTAACCACGCGCCTTCATAATATTATCAATAGGTTGCAAATTCTTCTGCCTTACTTTGTCGCTTCTGTTCCGCTTTTTTCAATTTGGACGGCAATGGGACTGTGTTAATTTAAAAAATGTAACCTGGGTCGCTCCGCACGAAACACAGGTGCCTCCTAAAAGCTGACACATTCTTAATTTTTTCGTAATTTGGCAATGTACATACCACGGAGTGGAAAGATATTTGACGCTGTTGGCTATTGGTTATAATTATGTGAAGTGACAATACATCCTTACTTCTGAATAAATAACCTATCACTACCTTGTCATACATACTTCACCATAAAGCAAACTACGTATCACTTTCTCACCAATAATGTGTTTTTACTTTCGATTCCTTCTTAACTGCATAAATAGGTGCCAAAGGCCATCTTCAAAATTTAAAAGTATAAAATTTGCCTGGAAATCGTTCTCCTCTTATTTTTTGTCTTAATTGAAGATCCTCTTTAAAATTTGCATCTAAAGATACAAATCCACAGCTCGGCCCAGATGTAACTCTCGTTTTCTTAAGCGGAGCTGCATTACTGACTATTCTTAATGCACATTCTTTTCAGCCAAACGGTTGTATTCGCGGCAAAAGTTGACTTCCATTGCGTATTCTTCTAAAGCAAGCAGACCTGTAACAGACGCAATAGGAAATTTTCAAACACCATTTTACGCGAATAAAACTACCTTATGTCGAAAAATTCCCCAATTATTTCTATTTTTGTCTTGACTGTACTTTTGGCCGGATCTTCCTGATTTTAGAGGGGATGGTTTGTTTTTAAGCAAAGCAAATTTTACGTGATTCGGCAGGCCCATAAGAAGTGCGCGAAATAAAAGATTACCTGAAATAAGTTTCATTTATGCTGGGAGCAGATATTACTGTCTGCGTAAATTACTGCAACAACGGCTGATTAGTTGGTCGGCCTAGTGAGTAGTATGAGAAATCGGGACCTCCGAACGCAAATAACAAACAAAAAAACAATTCAATGCATCAAGCTTGTACAGGGAAACTAAAATACATTTGTCGCCAACAGTTGCTGCAAAAATCATTTAATTTCAACAAAAATGGAAATTCTGCGAATGAAAATGTTCACTTGCCGTTTATGCGACATTTTCTTACCGTTTGATACACTCAACTTTCTACTTTCACCTTCTCTCGCATAGCAATGCCCGGAGTCTTAGGAGGGCATAGGGTACAAAGGAAGTATGTCATATTCTAGGATATGATTTAAATGGCAGTTTTTACTTAGCATTGACTGTTAAAGTGTGCCCTTCTAACACCAAGCATAGGTGGGTTGACGCGGCTGATTCATAGCTGCAGTTGGAGATGGGGCTTTTGTACTGAGCTGTTGTTGAGATAGCGATGATTCTGGGCAGTAGGGGTTTGGGGGAACCATGGGAAATCCTACGTCACTGCATACGCCATGACCAGGTCGAGACAGTCATACCGAAAATAAGAATACAGAGCAAACAGGGCCCGTCAACTAATTCATCCAAAGGGGGGACACAAAGGCAACGAACCCCAATTGAGGTGACGACACAGGAGGCCACTAACACTCACAAATTACGGCCACTAGGCCAAGGCAGCGAAAGAAGAAAAAATCGATCAGGCCAAGGCGAAATAATTCGACCGACTATTAGAAATTCCGGTCGATTTTAACACTAAGCGTTTTAATAATAGAGTGCCGGGCAAGTTCTCCGCAATGTCCGCAAAGCAATTTTTCGATCCGGTGAACACTTCATTTTTTTCAGATAATAAGATCTTCCAGAGAGAGAGAGAGAGAGAGAGAGAGAGAGAGAGAGAGAGAGAGAGAGACCATATTCAACAGAACGCTCATAATGTTTTCGCTCTGGTCGGGCTTGTCTGAAGTTAAGCCGGGAGGTTTTCTGTTTGATATAAACATCCTTTCCATGCTAAAGAGTAAAAAAATGACAGGTAATTTGCAGACTATTAAATTGTCTGCGGAAAAAAACTTACGATGCAAACATTTCCGAAATTTTGAATGCTCCCTCAGAGGGTCGATCGGGGTCAACTTCTGTAACTGAAAGTTAATCTTTTCAGACAGATCGATTACGCGGTCGGTCGCTACCGAGATACGCGTGTGCGACGTCATCTGATGATCCTTTCTCTAAACTGTGGTCAATGCGAGGGAGATGAAATTTCGGACCAAAAGTACTCGTTAGTTCAGGCAGTCGACAGACATTGCAGGACATTAGATGTTGTGGTTCGCGATGCACACCTGGTACTGACTGCAGACACTAGCATTGAAACGCAGGTAACCGCGCCAGTCTTTGTTAGACATGTTGGCCGAAACTAAAGGCAGTAAGCACCAGACGCTGCGTAACCTTCAGACGAATTCAAGGCCTTGCCCTCCGCTCTTGTAAGCGGAGAACATTTTGCCTGACTTTGTGGGAAAAGCTTTGTGCCCTACCCTGCCCTGCCCTGCTGAGACAGGTAGCCCTCTTTCATGCTCGTCATCACGTGACGAGGCGGACTCGTCTGTCTATCCGCGGCCACAGTACGAGGTCGCGCCTGTCCGTGCACCTGGGTCGGCGCGTGTGCGCATCAGACGCGCGTCGCTCCCATTTGTCGATTTCCCTCTCGGTGATTGGCCACACCTACGCCTTCTGCTGTCTACGCTTCAATCCGCCTGGGTGGTTGGATCCGCTGGGGGGCGGGGTAGGGAGAACTACAACACACGCATAATCAGCCTCTAGGATGCTCGAAAGTGGACGGCGCGCTAAATTGTGGAATTTGCCCCCGCTGTCTTACTTACTAATATCGAACTTGTAAGTCTTCCCGCCATTACCGTTAGCTGGCTGTTGGCTAACGCTCTGCCGCGCCGGTGCAGTATAACGCACTCGCACATGACTTTTTTGCGACCCTTCCATTTCTAACTCATGGTGGTATTGCACCCAAGGCGATCTAGAGAACATCCCCACGAGATTCTTATGCTTCCCTATTCTGCGAAGAACTCGTCTTCCTCTTGAAGCTGACTTCATCCATTAACCTTTTGGCTGAACTGTACTATCTCTGGGCTGACTTACATCCACCAAACGGACTCCTGAACGTTGACTTTACTGGTACCTTGGTACATGTGCTAAGGACGATGGATAGTCACCGAAAGGTCATGACACAGCCCGCCGCGGTTGTGCAAACCGGACTCAAGTCCTCTGATGATCTCCCCACTTTCGAAACGAAGGGTTCCGGTGAATCTTCTACCTACTCTTCCGTCTTGACCATAGAAGGCAAGGCGGCCGCGTCCACAAAACTCGCCAAGCATGCTGTGGGCACTCCAGACATCAGCGACACCCCAGAAAAGCGGGTTTCGCGGCTGCAATCGACACACAGTGGCTACTCTGACTCAGGTATCTTCGAGTCGAGCTCTTTGGCCGCCAAGCACTTACCTCTACCACGCCTTCCAGTTCTGCTGCGTGACATGTACAGTGAGTATGTTGAAGATTCCCATTTTTCAGTTTCTACCAGCTATGCTGAAATCCAGACTAGTGATTCCCTAGAAAGCACCCCAGCCCTAACAAAACGCAACACCTTAGAACGCGCTACTAGCACATCTATGTTCGCCCCTGACCCCCGTAGTCCTTCAGACCCTATTTCTCCCATTACACCGACAAATTCCACACTACAATTAGTCAAAATGGAGGAGATGGAGGGGGCAGCGTCTGATCGCTCCTCGACATTTGCCATTTCATCTACGCCGTTACTTCGACGCTGTCATATAGCAGGTGAGACGGGAGCTTCGGCCGCAACCTCAGGTATCTTTGAGGCTGCTGGCAGCGTTCTAACTGAGTCAGACGAACGTCTCGCTGCAGTGCCCGCACGTTCACAAACGCTCCCACAAGCGACGCACGACGTCAGTCGCTCAGAGTTACGGAGTAAGCCCCCACTGCCGAGAGTCTTTCACAAATCCTCCGGCAGTCTTAAAACCAAGAAACAGCAACCGAAGAAGACGCATCCGGCGAGGCGCGCTGCTAGCGGTGCCAGTCTGCTCTCACTGTTTGGATTCCGACGGAAAGCGACCTCCCTGCAAAAGCAGCAGCCTACCGCCGCCGCCATGCCACAGCCACACCTGACAAAAATAAGCACTTTACCAGTTGAAAAACTGGAGGAAAGACAAGCCCGAGCAATGGGTACGGGCGTTTCTACCACGCCGGGCTGGTCTGCTTCACTCTACAGTTCCATGTCCGGCGACCTTGGTGAGGCGGTACGCGCTCATGATGACACGGGCGCGACTGCCAATGAGATTGACGCTCTGGCCACTCAGAAGACGCATCAGTCCAGCGTCCTACCGCAAGCGAGTCACACAGCGTGCGCAGAGACAACGGACCAATCGATGGGCGCGATTGTCTGTGCGCAAGCCGGGTTGGTGCATGCGGCTGCCGATGAGCCTCACGCCGCCTCAGAGAGCGATCAACCGACTTTGCGGCTCAGCACAACCGAAGTCATTCTGGCAGGTAATGAGGAGATGGAGCCTCGTCAGGCAGACGCAGAAGATGAAGTCATCGGAATTTCGGAGCACAAGTTGCAGCCCTTTTCGTCGCGTGAGGAGGCCGAGGTGACAGCCGACAATCGGAGCGGAAGTGGATATACCCCCAGCAGACGGCGGAGTAGTGCGTCAGGAGGGGAAATAAGCGCTTCCAACGACAGCAGTAGCGACTCAGTGGAGGCCAGTTGGTATCGTCCGCACTTCAGTGCCTCAGATCAGGAGGTTCAAGGCGGCAGAAAAAAGAAGGCCAAGCACAGAAGATGCACACAAGCAGAAAGAAAAGAAGATAGCAATATAACAGCCAAGGCGAAAGAACTCAACGACGAGGACAGGACAAAGCAACAGACGGTGACCCCATCCGGTAAGCCAAATATCTCAATACTTGATGCATCCACAGAGAATCCTCATGAGTTCCCTAGCATAATTGAAAAGCAACTAGCCCAGCAAACACTTGCAGACGTACATCAGACAGATAAAAGCACGCCACAAAAATCAGACCACGAAATATCAAGACCACAAGCAGACAGGCAAACAAATGAGCACCTAGAATCATCAAGAGAGGAAGCAATGCAAGAAAACCCACTAACAACAGCTAAAGAGCAAAACGTAGACAACGCAGGTGACAATCAAAAACAAGCAGCAAAAACCGAAAAAATAGCACAGGCAGACGATAGCACTAGAGTAAACATTGATGAAAACAATGCAGAGGGTATGACACAAACAGCCAGCGCAGAAGCAGGGCACGATGTTGACGCCGGCATACTGCCGAAAGTGTCCATAAAGGCGGGTCCGGTGGTTGTCGACGTGCCCACTGTCGATATTCAGGCCTCTGTGCCCGGTGATGTTGAATTGCCTAGCCTTGATGTGAAGGCAACAGATCTGGACGGAGAGATGAATGTGAAAGCAGGCATCGAGATGCCAGAGGCACGTCTGGACATTGAGCCGCCTGCCGCAGACATGAAGGTGGATGCTGGTGGCAAGTTTGAGCTTCCATCCTTGAAGGTGAAGCTGCCTCATCCTCACCTGAAGCTTGGCGCATCGGGCAAGGCGAAGGCCCCGAAGGTGGATGTGGAGATGCCACAGGCAGAGGCAGACCTTGATGTGTCGGGCAAAGTTGACGTGCCTTCAACGAAGGTAGTCATAGATGCCGATACGGATTTGGATGTGGATGCTGGTGGCAAGTTTGAGCTTCCAACCTTGAAGGTGAAGCTGCCTCATCCTCACCTGAAGCTTGGCGCATCGGGCAAGGCGAAGGCCCCGAAGGTGGATGTGGAGATGCCTGAGGTGGATGCTGGTTTGGACGTGTCTGGCGGCGTGGAAGTGCCGTCTGCGGGCATTGACGTGAATGCAGACGCTGATTTGGACGTGGATGCTGGTGGCAAGATTGGCCTGAAGAAGCCGAAGTCGCCGTCCTTCAAAGTGAAACTACCACATGCGCACTGGAAGATGGGCAAGTCGGGCAAATTGAAGATACCGCAGGCAGAATTAGAGACGCCACATGTGGATGCTGGTTTGGACGTGTCTGGTGGGGTGGATGTGCCATCGACGGAATTGAAGCTAGATGTGGACACTGATATGGACGTGGGCGCAGGCGGCAAGGTTGACGTGCATGGCAAGTCGCCGTCCTTCAAGTTGAAGATGCCTAAATGGCATTTTGGCAAGTCGGTCAAAGTTGAAGCTCCCAAAGTGACTGCTGAGTTGCCTGAGGTGGATGCTGGTTTGGACGTGTCTGGCGGNGCCGCGGATAGACAGACGAGTCCGCCTCGTCACGTGATGACGAGCATGAAAGAGGGCTACCTGTCTCAGCAGGGCAGGGCAGGGTAGGGCACAAAGCTTTTCCCACAAAGTCAGGCAAAATGTTCTCCGCTTACAAGAGCGGCTGGCAAGGCCTTGAATTCGTCTGAAGGTTACGCAGCGTCTGGTGCTTACTGCCTTTAGTTTCGGCCAACATGTCTAACAAAGACTGGCTCGGTTACCTGCGTTTCAATGCTAGTGTCTGCAGTCAGTATCAGATCTGCATCGCGAACCACAACATTTAATGTCCTGCAATGTCTGTCGACTGCCTGAACTAGCGAGTACTTTTTGGTCCGAAATTTCATCTCCCTCGCATTGACCACAGTTTGGAGAAAGGATAATCAGATGACGTCGCAGACGCGTATCTCGGTAGCGACCGACCGCGTAATCGATCTGTCTGAAAAGATTAACTTTCAGTTACAGAAGTTGACCCCGATCGACCCTCTGAGGGAGCATTCAAAATTTCGGAAACGTTTGCATCGTAAGTTTTTTTCCGCAGACAATTTAATAGTCTGCAAATTACCTGTTATTTTTTTACCCTTTAGCATGGAAAGGATTTTTATATCAAACAGAAAACCTGCCGGCTTAACTTCAGACAAGCCGGACCACAGCGCAAACATTATGAGCATTCTGTTGAATATGGTGTCTCTCTATCTCTCTCTGGAAGATCTTATTATCTGAAAAAAATGAAGTGCTCACCGAATCGAGGAATTGTTTTGCGGACTTTTGGGAGAGCTTGCCTGGCACTCCATTATTAAAACGCTTAGTGTACAAATTAACCAGAATTTTGAATAGTCAGTCGAATTAGTTCGCCCTGGCCTGATCTATTTTTTTCTTCTTTCGCTGCCTTGGCCTAGTGGCCGTCGTTTGTGAGTGTTAGTGGCCTCCTGTGTCGTCACCTCAATTGGGGTTAGTTGCCTTTTGTGTCCCCCTTTTGGGTGAATTAGTTGACGGGCCGCGTTTGGTCTGTATTCTTATGTTCAATATGATTGGCTCGTCCTGGTCATAGCGTATGCAGTGACGTAGGACTTCCCATGGTCCCCCCGCCACCCCTACTGCCCAGAATCAGCGCTATCTCAGCAACAGCTCAGTACAAAAGCCCCAACGCCAACTGAAGCTATGAATCAGCCGCGTCAACCCACCTATGCTTGGTGTTAGAAGGGTGCACTTTAACAGTCAATGCTAAGTAAAAACTGCCATTAAAATCATATCATAGAATATGACATACTTCCTTTGTACCCTATGCCCTCCTAAGACTCCGGGCATTGCTATGCGACAGAAGGAAAAAGTAGAAAGTTGAGTGTATCAAACGGTAAGAAAATGTCGCTTAAACGGCAGGTGAACATTTTCATTCGCAGAATTTCCATTTTTGTTGAAATTAAATGATTTTTGCAACAACTGTTGGCGACAAATGTATGTTAGTTCCCCTGTACAAGCTTGATGCATTGAATTGTTTTTTTTTTGTTATTTGCGTTCGGAGGTCCCGATTTCCCATACTACTCACTAGGCCGGCCAACTAGTCAGCCGTTGTTGCAGTAATTTATGAAAACAGTAATATCTTCTCCCTGAATAAAGCAGGATAAATGAAACTTATTTCAGGTAATCTTTAATTTCGCGCACTTCTTATGGGCCTGCCGAATCACTAAAAATTTGCTTTGCTTAAAAACAAACCATCCCCTCTTAAATCAGGAAGATCCGGCCAAAAGTACAGTCAAGACAAAAATGGAAATAATTGGGGAATTTTTCGACATAAGGTAGTTTTTTTCGTGTAAAATGGTGTTTGAAAATTTCCTATTGCGTCTGTTACAGGTCTGCTTGCTTTAGAAGAATACGCAACGGAAGTCAACTTTTACCGCGAATACAACCGTTTGGCCAAAAAGAATGTGCATTAAGAAGAGCCAGTAATGCAGCTCTGCTTAAGAAAACGAGAGTTACACCTGGACCGAGCTGTGGATTTGTGTCTTTAAATGCAAATTTTAAAGAGGATCTTTAATTAGGACAAAAAATAAGAGGAGAACGATTTTCAGGCCAATTTTATACTTTTAAATTTTGAAGATGGCCTTTGGCACCTATTTATGCAGTTAAGAAGGAATCGGAAAGTAAAAACACATTATTGGTGAGAAAGTGATACGTAGTTTGCTTTATGGTGAAGTATGTATGACAAGGCAGTGATAGGTTATTTATTCAGAAGTAAGGATGTATTGTCACTTCACATAATTATAACCAATAGCCAACAGCGTCAAATATCTTTCCACTCCGTGGTAAGTACATTGCCAAATTACGAAAAAATTAAGAATGTGTCAGCTTTTTAGGAGGCACTTGTGTTTCGTGCGGAGCGACCCAGGTTACATTTTTTAAATTAACACAGTCCCATTGCTGTCCAAATTGAAAAGGCGGAACAGAAGCGACAAAGTAAGGCAGAAGAATTTGCAACCTATTGATAATATTATGAAGGCGCGTGGTTACTGGACTTTTACGCTACAAGACTGAAACCGCGTGCACGAGCACGTACGCACCAATCAGAATCGTCGAGAGCGCTCGCGTATTGATTAGCTAGAAAGGTGTTGGCAGCGGACTTTCTGAAGACAAACGACCTTACTAAGTGACCTCCAGCTGCTGGACTGGTGCAGCAAATTTTACCTTGAAAGCTTTAGGGCTGGAAATGTGATCCTATCGCTCAACACCGTCCCAGGCAAATGAGTGTCCCACTGTCTCTTTTTAAATGTTCAGATTAATGGAACGAGAGACATTCCGTCTCTCACTGGTTAGCATCCAATTATCCTTATACTTGCTTTCGTGGCGAGATTTGGTTCTGTAGGCCCACATGATTGATACCGTATGGTATGCTTACTAAAATGATATCAGATAACATACAGTAGGTGGGCTAACTCATGTAATGTCAACCGTAATTCCGAAATGCGTTTTCGCTTCAAGCAGATTAATTAAGTAGAGTTGTAAAACTAGTCAGCCTGCAACATAACTCCTTAATATTTCAGTTACCTCAGGATGCCGGCATTCGAACGAGCTTCCTTCCGACTGCATGCAAAAACCACACTCTGTAAAAAGCGGCTACTTAAATAGCATGAATTTTTCGCATCGATTTTTGATGCCCTTAAAAATTCAATTATATTTCATGGGAAACATACATAAAAATATTCATTCTTTCGTGCATTCCGTAGAAAATTACGTCTTCTCCCAATTTTATATTCGAAGGAAGGGTATAATTCGGTTTTCAAAAACTTTCCCAATTCCCGAATAATTTTGAACCCGCTCTACCGCTACACTTGGATTTAGGGTTTAGAACCTACAGGCCGTACTAAGGAGGGCCCATATAGGGTTCATAGAATTTAGCAGTTGATTTGATTCATATTGTTAACTTTACAAGCCACATTGGTAAAGGCAGATAAATGACGATTTATGAACGGCCATTTCACGGTTTTTAAAGTCCCACAATTCGAAACTTATTTAAATTCGAATTATGTCCCTCCTTCGGGTATAAAATTGGAAGAAGAGGTAATTGTCTACCGAATGAGCAAAAGAATGAATATTTTTATGCATGTTTTCCATGAAATATAATTGGACATTTAGGGGCATCGAAAATCCATGAGAAAACTGCATGCTACATAAGCAGTCGTTTTTTTTACAGAGTGTAGTTTTTGTATGCAGCCGGAAGGAAGTTCGTTCGAAAGCCGACATCCTGAGTTAACTAACATATTATAGAAATATGTTGCAGGCTGACTAGTTTTACAACCCTACTCAATTAATTTTTTTTCGAAACGTAAACGCATTTCAGAATTTCGGTTGACATTTCATGAGTTAGCCCACCTACTGTACATAACTTGGCTACTCTCTGGATTAGGAAGGGAAAGAAAGCTCAAGCAGAGCTCGAAGTACACTCAAGGAAGGTGGCATGTACACACGCGAGTTCGACCGCCGGTTTCGGCGATGTCCACCGTGTGCTCCACAGCAAGGCGGAGCAGGATCAAGAAGATCGGAGGCGGGGGAGGGCATAGGTGAATGGCATGGCCGAGCCCGTACCTTGGTGTTCCACTCCACACCCCATGGTCCACACAGAAAATAATGAGGATTTTTCGCCAACAGCAACAACAACATCCCCAACAGGAGTCAAAAGGACGAGGATGATGACTGGCCAGTCATGCCCATCACCTGTGTTCCTAGCGGGGACGCAGGCGCATGTACCGGCAGAGGACCAGGTGTCAAGGAACTACCAGCGCATACCAGGCTCCGAGAGCCATGGTTTGCTGATACTGCCATGATACACGCTTATAAACCTTTTGACCTACTGCACG